CAAACTGTAAACCCCTGGGCCCCATACATATATATATATATATAGATCACTAGGTGTAAAGCTTCGGGTTTAGAGCCTGTTGGGTCAGGTTTACAAATATCCTACAACAAGTGCCTAGCTACATCCTACAAGAGCCCAACACCCTATCGACCAACAGCGCGCGGCCTCTTTTTTTTTTTCGTCCGCAGCCTTGAGTCTTCCCTAACCCTCCAGGTACCTACTACACAGGGCCCTAGGGGCTCTAGTACCCTATATAGTAGGTACCTGGGGGGTCACGGCTTGCTTCTCAGTCCAGCTTCCCTCGCTCGCTTCCCACCTCCAGCGCACGGGTCCGAGCATTATCAAAAGAGATAGTTGGACCAAGAGTGTGTCATGGGCAGACAGGTAATATAGGGGCCTTAATAATTAGAAGAGGGTTTTGGTGCCCATTATAGTATAACTATAATAGGGAGCTCCCAGAAATAATATAGGTAATTGTTGAGACGTATTACATAGGGAACATTTCGGGGCTTAATTCGTACGCTCAGCGCTGTCACCATGGCAAACTGCTGAACTCCTTCACTTTGCTTTGGGTTTTTGGGCGCCTGGTTGCACCCCCCCCTGCACAACCTGAAGCCCGCAAGAAACATGCTTGCTCCCAACATAGAGACGTACCAACAACGATTCTGGTCAAACACTCCTGTTCAAGAGGCATTGGGAAAACACCGCTGCAAGTGACGACATTGCTCCTTAGCCTCATGATAGGCTCCGTCGGCATCTTGGATTTCTAAGGCTTGTACGAAGGTTTTACCTGGTAACATGGCTCTAGGTGGGGTTTAGGATTTCGGGCTCCGGGTTTTGAGGCTTACAGGCTTCCAGTGAGCCCTTGAGTCATCCACCTACACCGAATGGATCAGACACCCCCGTCTACCAAAAAGGTCCCAAATCCTGGAACCCTGCAATCCGTAAAGAATGGCTCAGGAACCGCGTCTGCCAGAGGTCATCAAATCCTAGGAAATCTATATAGACCTGAATCAAATCTCGAAATCCAACAAGGCCTACACCCTACACCCCCAAACGCCCAAGCTCAATGAGCTCTGTCTTTACAGCCAAAACTCAAACAGAAACTCGGAAGCACCCTATCGGGTTTAAGTTTATTGTCACCTGTTCAAGAAAGTGAAGGAATGGGGGCTTAGGCGGTTTGGGGTTTAAAGAAGGTAACGAATCGGATTTGGGCGGAAGGAGCCGCCTACCCACAAAGGAGCCACCGTTTCTTCGTCGAGGCTTCGCCAGGAAGAGCCGAAGGTCTTCCTAAGAGCAGGGGCTAGGGCTCTCAAGCGAAGGAATTCTGAGAGCTCGCAATTCCACCGTCAAGGGGTTCCCATAAGGACTGCTAGAAGGATTACGATAAAGGATTCTGTGAAGGTCATGCAATACGAGCATGAGGCGATTTATGGTATGGGGTTTGGGGCTTAAGGTTCCGGGTTGGGGGTTTGGTAGGGTCTATATAGTTCATCTTTCGGCTTGGCTTAGCGTGTTTCATTCGAGGGCGTATAGGGGGTTTAGTGGTTCTGTAGAAGGGTTCTGTGGAGTTTTCAACAAGGTTTTCAAGGTTTCGTCATGCCGTGGCTACTAGAATAAGCCGAAACCAAGCACTAAACAGACTAAACACATGCAAACCACACACACACACACACACACACTTTTCATCACCTCAAAACCTTTACTAAGACACCACCACATCCCCGAAGCGAACTCTCAAAAACAAAAAGATATTGATGATATGATACCCCAAGACCCCCAACGCGCGCACCCCAACTGTAAACAACAGAGGATTTGGAACTTAAGGTTTCGGGGTATACACCGAGACAGAACTGTTAGATCCTCATCCCGCCGAAACCGAACTCACTTTGAGCCTTCAAGCTGCACCCGAACCCGGAACTCGCCCAAACCCTAACCCCTAAAACCCTAAACCCTGAACCCCTAAAGCCCTAAACTCTGAACCCCTAAAGCCCTAAAACCCCTGAACCCCTAATCCCCTAAACCCTAAAGCCATGGCGACGAGCAGCAGATTCGGTTGCAGTGACCCGGGTGGCGTGGAGATGAGTTCCGCCTGCTCGAGACTCGAGAAGCCCTGGCTTAGGGACTCTGGGCCCTTCAAACCCTAAACCCTAAACCCTAAACCCTAAACCCTAAACCCAGGGCTTGGGATTTTAGGGTTCGGGGTTTTAGGGTTTGGGATCTTAAGGCTTCAGGGTTTTAAGATTTTAGCGCTTATTGTTTCAAGGTTTTAGGGTTCGGGGTTTAGGGTTTGGGCTTTAGGGTTGAGGGTTTTAGGGGGTTTGGGGTTTCAGGCTTTAGGGTTTAGGGTTCAGGGCCTTTCAGGATGTAAGGTTTTAGGGGGAGATTACAAAGTATCCAACTCTGGGCCCGAAAGCCTGAACCCTGAATACTCAGACTAGTTCCCAACTACGACCTAAACCCCCTAAAAGTGGGTAACATAATGGCCCCAAACCTATACATGGCTGTGATTCCACATGCTCTTGGGGTGCAGGTATACTGGGAACTATAGGCTTCAAGATTTCTGCCGCTCGCGACATTCGGCCGCTCAGCCGTTTCGCCACGCGGAATCTTGGCATGTGCAAGATTTGGAACGGTCAATCCCAAAGGCTCTGCGGAATCATGTTTTCCGGCTCTTGGGGTCCAACAACAGCCTAGACCGTAAAGAACCTACCCTTTTTGCGGTTCCTGAATATGCTTTCCTGATATAAGTCCTAGAAAAAGGTAGGTTCTTCAGGGTCCAGGAGGATAATATGCCAGGTGTCTGGCGCAACTTCGAGCCATGAGGATTCCAAGCTGTAGCAGCTAGAATAGTCGTCATAAGGGTAACACGTAAACTAGGGCCCTAAACAAACCCTAAGCCGCAGCTACTGAGGATCGTCGGGGCGAAGTAGCGGATCCGTGTTCCGAGTCCCGCGGCTCGTGAAGGTGACATCCCCGGCTTGTAATGACTGCCGCCAAACGGTCATGTGCAGCTTTTCTCCTCGGTTAGGGTTTATAGGCTCCTTGGTTATCCGGCGGTTCAAATTAGGGGGTACTTGAGGGGTTCCTTAGGGTTTCAAGTGTTCGGATAAGGGTTCTTAAAAAGCGGTTCCCATGCATCCTCTTGAGCATAACGATGCCTCTTTTCCTCTTGTTCATGATGAATAAGGAGACCTCGAAAGAAAGGGCAGAAGGGGTTTAGGGTTCAGGGCTTCGGGTTTAGGTTACTTCTGGTGGGACCTAGGCTCGCAAAGCATCATAGGAGGAAGAGGCGAACTGCAGGCATTTCTCGAAAGAGGAGATGCCCAAACGCTTGGTGAGGAAGACGATGGCCATGGCCCACAGGAAGACGATGCCTGACTTGTCCAGTATCCCGGGGAACTTAAGGTCAACCTTTGGGATTATGTAGGGGTTATAATTACTACCCCAAAACGGTAAAAGGTTACCTACTTTACTACTAAGATGCAGATCGAGTAGGACAAGCCTCTGGCGGCAAGCCAGAGCAGGCAAACAGCAGCGGTGAAAAGGGCCGACGCTCCCATGCGAGACCACCTCTCGACCTGCCATGCAGTCATGTCCTCCTGCTCCAGCTGCAAAGACGCGACAATACTACGCAAGATCAGCGGAAAGTGCAGAACGGCGGTGATGCCACCGCCTGCTGCAACGGCTCCAAACAGCTTAGCGTCCGTCTCTTGCTGCTGTATAACTCGCTCTCGCTGCGCATCGGGCATAGGCACGAGACTTATGGTAAGCCAGCTCATAAACAACCATCCGGAGAAGTTGATGAAGAAGCTGATGGTTAATGCAAGCGTCACACTTATCCACGGAGCCTGGATAACTAGAATGGGGCTTTGGGGCAAAATGTCTTATACCTCAACAGGAACAACATGGGTAATTACATTACGACCCCTGTACATGCATCTACTCTCCATTGCAGTTCCTTTTTGGGTTTCGAGACGAGAGTATTATAAGATTTCCTAAACCCTAAACCCTAAACCTAAGTATAAAATGGAACCCAGAGGAAGAATGTGACGCCTACAGTAGTAGCCGAGGAATAAAGGGGCTCCCGTTTTGGAACTGGTTAGGTTTATAAGGAACCTAGGACCACAATAAAGGAAAAAAAGGCCCACTGGGAGACACCCTAAACCCCTAAACCCCCAAACCCAAAACCCCTAAACCCAACAGCCCTAAACCCAAAAGCCCTAAACTCTAAACCCCTAAATCCAAAAGCCCTAAACCCAAAAGCCCTATAAACTCCAAACCTCTAAACCCAGAACCCTCCTAAACCTATCCGAAGAGCATGGGTCTGCACATGGAGCAGCTGCTCATGGGGAGGCCAAACCCGATCTCTGGTCTGATGCCAGTTCGCCTGAAGTTAAGAAAGGTTTAGGGTTTTGAGTTCAGAGTTGATGTTCGCCCGAAGTTAAGAAACTTAGTGTTTTGGGGTATACGACAATAAGTATCATCATGTTAGGTTTTGGTGTATATGATACTATAGTTACTTAGGGTAGTTGGGGCCTTCGGGGTATATAATATATATTCATTAGTTTGGGCTTGGGGGGTATGTGACATCTTAATTACGTAGGGTATTTGGCGTAGGTTGCAATAATAAGACTGCAATTAGGAACCCTAAGTTAATCATGCAGGCTTCTATAAGACTTCAGGCCTTACACGGACTCAGACCCAAGTAACTTTGCTTGGTACCCCGTATTGAAGCCTCACCACAGACTGGGTTGTCCATAAAGCAGGAAACGCCGTTCTTGGTAGGGCTGGGGAAGTCTAGTAGATCACGACAAGCTTGTGGTTATATATACATATACACACGCAATGTACACATATTCTTGTATGTGAAACCGAGTTCAAGAACAAAAGCCCAGTCGCCGTCTTGAGTTTGAGGTACAACAGTGGCACAGCCGGAAACAGCACTGCAAGAGTGCTTGTAAAGGAAGTCGGCGGCTTTATTAAGGCCGTCACAAACCCAAAGGAAATCATAAAAGAAATTGACAACAGAATGTGCTGGTCCTGGCCGTGGTCAAGAATCAGATGTCGGAGCATCCAATGCAAGCGATGCTCTGTGTCCCATTGACGCAAGGTCGGAGATGCTACCAACATGATGACACCCAACCACAGGCCCGCAGGAAAAAACCACTGCCCCATTCCTATAAGCTCCAGCACGTAGGGTGGCGGTGGCGCTGTGGGCTTGAGCGGCCGGTACGTCACAGCCACACCCCACCAGAACAGCAGACATGTCATAATGACTGTGAACTTGTTCCTTCTCAAATATTGTACTCTCTGCCGAAGATTGTCAGGAAAATCTGCGAATGGAGCCTTGCAGCATTCGGAGACACAGCCTCGCATGGTTCGCAGACAACGAGTTCGCCACGCAGCTGTCTCATGCACCGTCTGCGCCAGGACTTCGTGACAGATGTCGCACTTTACGGCAGCTGCAGGAGCATCATAGAGTCCTCCTGCCCTGTGTTGCCACCATTCAGACAAGCAGTCAGCATGAACCCAACGCATAGAACCCCGACAAGCGCAGGGCTCGATGAGTTCTCTACCGGGTTCCGGGCCGTCCAGGCATATTCGACAAGCCCGCGACGTGTCCTCCATGCTCTCTTGGCGGCTAACTGCACTTCTTGAGCCCAGAAATGCCTCTCTTGCTTGTCCAGTCGTCGATGGCTCAACCGGTCACTTGCTCTACAAAGCATAGTTGTTAAGTACTGCATAGCTAGTAAGCTTCTATGGGACAACGGGCAAGAGCCAACCATGCAATTTCAAGCAAGCTTTCCAACTCAGGGCCAGAGGACCACATGTGTTAAGAAAGTGCCTATTTGAGGCTATGCCCCAAAACAAGAAAAAGGACAGATTCCATCAGCATCTGCACGTGGCTACTCAACTCCCTTCATCTGCCCTAAACCATAAACGCTAAACTCTAAACCCTAAACTCTAACCCCTCAGCTCCAGAGGCTTTCCGTGACCTTACCTACATACATACATATACATATATATATATATATATATACATATATATATATATATATACATATACATATACATATATATATATACACATCTAGATAATGATATAGATATAGAGGCCTTGATACATAGAATAGGGTTTTGGGGCCGATTATACTATAATTCATTTTCAGGAACCCCCCCCACAGTAGTATTGGTAATTTAGGCCCCTACATTACACAAGTGCCTCGAAAACCGAAGGGCCAAACCTGAGCCGTGAACCCTAGGATCTAAATTTAGAGTTTAGGGCAACCCCAAAACTCCAATCCCCAAAGCTCTATACCCTAAACATCCCGAAAAGGTAAACCCTAACGGGTTCAAGAGTTTAGCATTAGGGATCAGGGTTGAGGTTGCGGGTTTAGGCTTCCAACCCCCCCAAAACTCTAAGCCCAAAGCCCTATACCCTTAACATCCCTAAGCAGCAAACCCTAAACCCCAAAACCCTAAACAACCCTCAAAAGTGAACCCTAAACCCCCACAACGCTGAGCCCTAAACCCTTTAGTTTGAAGCATCATTGGCCTGCTGGGAGGGGCCCTCGGCGGAGAAAAACCGCCATGGCCCATGGCAGAAGAGAAAGCTTCGGGTTTATGGGCTTTGGGGTGTAGGATTTAGGGTTTAG